TGGGGGAGGCACTTAATGCCATGGGAGAGGGGCCAGTGTAGGGTGTGGGATGGAGAAGGGATGAGTATCATGTTCAGCCCCCATCCTTTCCCCTCACACAGGGCCATTGTGGCTCTTTCACTGGATTAATGACTGCTCCATGTGGACATCTACCAGTCACATGTAGGATTTGGTCTCTTGAGAATAGTCACAAAACAATTTAGGTTTCCCCTCTATTGGTTTCCACCATCTCCCTTATTAAAGATTCTTCAGTTACCTTTCTATGGCTGATTAATGTGTCAGGTGATTAATGACTTTCATCTGACACATCAGTGGGATTAAACCATGGTGAAATACATCCTTCCCCTCCTATTATTGCATTCCACTGCTTTCCACAAAGGAAGTACAAGAGAGGTTATCTCATGAGAAGCTCTGCCTGTATTTCTGGCTGTTTCCAATTACCTTGATGTTGGATACATGTCTGTGGTGAGCTAGAGGTGCAGAAGTTGTTTAGGGGAAGATGCTGAAAGTGCATCTAAAACACTCTGGGAATAACACAGGCAACTTGATAGGAATTTATTCTTAGTCTTTTGGATCAATGGTTGCCAGTTGCATCAAGTATTCCTGCAGTGCTTTTCTTTGAAAAGTTGGCTACGTTTTTTAGGAATGCCTAGCTTTTATCAGATGAGAATTTGCATTGAATTTAAGTACAGAAAAAGATGATGAATGTGTCTTAATTACTTTCAGCGGGTATGCCAACTGTGACTGCAGCACGTATGCCCAGGTGTGCTTTAACCTGCAACTGTGAGACCTTAAATTGGCAGAATGCTGAGCAGGAAGATGCAATTTCCCTGATGCCAGTTCTGAGTACTGCTCGTTCTGGCTGAAACTGATTCTCCTTTTTCTCTTCCCCACTGCCCCCTCCCTCTCTCTGGTAAATGGATTAATTCCCATCCCCAGCAGCTCCCTGGCTCTGCTCTTGGCCCGTGCAGAGGAACACAGTGCAGCTTGCACAGGCAGCTGGTGGAGATGAGGGGCCAGACCACCTCCCCTTTCAGCAGAGAGATGGACTCACGCAGGAATTAAGCAACCCTGTGGCCCACCTGATGTGTGTAGTTAATTAGAAAGATGTAGTGATAATTTCAGGTACAGATCTGCAGAGGACTGTCCCTGCTGGGTTTGAACATTCCTGCCCAAGCCTGTGCCATCAAAGCTTTCCCTCTGCTGGCACTTTATGCTAAATTCCTTCATGTGCCAAACAGCATGAGGACTGATTATTTGCCATGCCAAGCATGGACTTTTGGTTAAGGTGAGGATGGTTGTAATAAGATGTAGTACAAATGATGTGGCTGTGTAACGTGGTTTCTTTGAGGAGCGAGTGGCAAGGAACTCACAGTGAGTACTGTGCTCATCAAAATGTTATCAGCCTGGATTTGCTGAAACAATTATGGGCAATTTCTATTGCAGTGAGGGTTATTTAAAATTTAAATAGAGTTGACATCATGTTCTTTTGACCTAATTCCCAGACTTTTTTATCATTACTAAAATGGTGTGGGATATTACAATGTCATTTGCTGCAGAATGGCTCTCTAAGGAAAGGTTGATACAGCGCTGGTGTTTGAATAGGAAATGGACTGTGGAAAATTCTGAGGTAACATTGTGATCTTCAAACATGAAGGGTTGGATTTGTGGGTGAAAAGCCACAGTTCAGAAATAACCCTGCTGAAAAGTAGTCCTATGAAAAAACAGGACATCTCTTACTATTTGTTGTTTTATGAGTATAGGGGGTCATGTTTCTTTTCCTTTCAGTAATACTGCTAGTTTGTGTCCCACTAGATGCCCACTTTACATTAACATGAGTTGACTTTATTTTGGCAGGAGAAAGTCACCCAAGCCCTTGTGGAGTATTTCAGACTTTCAGCACCAAATTCAATTTACTACATTCTTCCATGCTTCCGTGACAACCCCATGTCAGATGATTCATGTACAGACCCTGTTTCCCAGAACTTTGTCCTTGGGATGACACCAGTGCCGTTCTTCTCATGATCTTTAAAAAACACGTGAGAAAAACAGTTGGGATGATTTTAAAGAGCAAATTGTCATTTGGAAAGCACCCTGCCTTAGTATGAGTTCCACTTATCAAGTAATGTTATTTTGAGCAATTGAAAAAACATTCAAAACAAAATAATGTGATTAAGTAAGGGTTGTGGGTTTTAAGAGTCAGTCTTCACTTCCTGCTTTCACCCAAGGACCATCCAGATACACCAGTCTGGCTTAAGTGTGCTCTCACCTTGGGAGTACAAGCATTGTCCATGTGTTGCATAAACTTGTATAAATAGTCCATCCACTTGTAATGAGGACAAAATTACCAGAAAGATTGTAGTGTGTTTTACTGTATTTGGGTATGATTCCCTAAGTCCCAATGCCTTGCATTGGAAAATAAAGCTCCAGGGTTGATATATATATCTCACTCATATATATCTCACTGTTAATACCCACACCAGCTTTATCTGCAGTACTCAAATCCAGATGTTGGAAAGCAAAGGTGTATCTCCAGTGCAGAATTAGCTTGTGTCTCTCCTGGGATAAGTTCTCCCACGTAACACCAACCTCCCCAAAAACCTGTAACCTTGGCTGTAGCAATCCAACAACAGGCAACCAAGATGGCATTTCAGCCCAAGCTGGCAGTCCATGGGCCTTGCTCTTAAAAGGCAGGCCAGCCAAGTGATACCTGAGTAATACATTATCCCTGAGTAATACCCTGTGGTCTGTTTATTTTTTTTACTCCAGGAGACCTTATTTGGCACGTTAGTCTGTTGTGTTTTGCTTTGCTTTAGAGTTTGAACAGCGGTGCCATGAGTGTGCTTGCCCACAGGTTTGCTGGAAGCAGATGTCAACCTTCTAGTACAGTTGTGGTGGCTGTAAAACCTGTAATTTGGGGGGAATATAGCTAAAGAAACTGTTCAGGGTTTAGTGGACAGAAGAGAAGAGGAAACACCAAGCAGACAAGAAGAAATTAGTTCCTTCTGCTGAAAGATTTTGCTGCCAAATATTTTGGTATGATCTGTGTTAGCAATAAGTAACTCCATTTGGAAATTATTTTCCACACAGAATTGTTGTTGCATTACTATTTCAAACAGCAGCTCTGTGCTGGGGCACACAAATCCCGCACACATTCATGGATCAACCAAGTAAAAACATGGTATTTCCCCCAGGAAATCTATCCCAGCATGCAGACCAGTAAAGCACTACTGAGGATGCAGCTGCAGATGAAGGGCTTTGTACAGCCAACCCTCCCCCTGTGCTGGAACAGCTCAAGCTGTAATTTTTTACTGAAGGCACATCCTTATTGCATAGGCATCCTATAATTTCTTCTGAAATGTCAGATGTCTCTCAGTTAGGGCTGTTTTGAAGATCTGCTACTGTCCTTACACACCTAAATGTTTCCTGGATTTTTCTCATGGTTTGGCTCGTTTAACTTCTTCAACAGCTCGTGGCTGCTTCTGGCCAGTTATTTTCCATTAGATAAAAGTCCCTCCCAGCACGCAGAATACAGAGATAACTTTACAGCTGTGTTTCATTCTCTTCCACATTTCAGCATTTCACCAGGGACAGATCTAGTGAAACCTTTGTCGTGGGATCTGAAAATTTTATTGCTTCAGATTTTTTTTAGTTCCCATTTCATTGCAAAGCTGGTTTGCTCAGGGTGCAGACAGAAGTGATGCTGCCTTGTTGTCTGGTTGGGGTTATTATGTGTGTGATTGTTTTGAGGCTTTTCCCCTTCTAATTAATTTAAACAAATTGGATTAAGAATAGAGGTTTCAGGACTCTAGTACTGTTACAGCTGGATTAAATATTGTCTTAGGAGACAAATTTGCGTTGAATAAAAAGCAGACTTAAATTATATCAAGGCATCCATGCTGGGAGAGGAGGGTGGTGGAATGCTGCCTGCCAGTATTTTTATTGTCATCATCATTCACCCTTTTTCAATTTTAGGGTTGCCATTTCTGCAAGGAAAAGTTTGATGCTTTTTTTTTACTAATTTGCTTTTACTCCTGGGGACAAATGAAAGTATTTTATTCAGACATCAAATTAATCACTTCTGTGAAGAAGACGGTTGATCAAAGTGTGCTTATATTTCTTTTAATTTTACTTCTTTACCATCTGTGAAGCACTGTAGTTGTGTGCTACCTGTCTGATTTATCAGTGTCTTGTAGGAAATCAGCCTTTCTTCTGCCTGAGGGATTTGGGAATTTCAATTAGGTAGTGAGCCTGAGGGAAAAGGATTTGCCTGCACTTGGTTTTGCAGAACTTGACAATGGTTTGATTTTGGCTTTGCTAATATGGAAATCTTTGCCAGTGCTCTCAGTGTCTAAAAATTTTCCTATTTCCACATGGTTATTTCCTGTCTTGGGTGAGGTAGGCTACTTTATTTCTTCTGGTTTATAATTTCTAGTTGCCAAGACAGTTAAAAAAAAAAAGTAAAAAAAACTTGGTAGGCAAAAGGAGATGCACCCTGCAAGCTTGTCTTCCTGTTTTTGATATGGCATTCCTGAATAATGGGTTGAATCCTGGTTCTGTGGAGATCCAGCTTCATGTGCAGACGGATCTGTGGTAGTCCTTGGTTCCCATTTCTTGCCTGGTTAACAAACTGCTGTACTCACTACTTACATCTACAGCATGGGTATATGTGGTATCTCTGCTAGCCTGGGTTTCTGTGACTAGAATGGAGCAACTGTGACACAGCAGGGAATTTGGCATCCTTTGAATGCCATGTTGTGGTGCTGGCACAATGTGTGAATGATTTCCCCCTTTTGTTTTGCTGTTAATGATGAGCTCTTGGGCTGGGGCCTGGCTGCAGCCTCAGCTTTGCGTGCACGATTATCTGTGCATGCTGCAGATGGAAATTGAACATCTAATTACTTTATAAGATTTGTGAACAGAGATTTAGAGCCTGCTTAGCCTCTGCTTGAAAAGTGCTTTCTGTGTGATTTCAAGTCTGCTTTTGCTCTCCTCCTCAGGTCCTTTCACAGATGTGGTCACTACAAACCTGAAGCTCGGCAACCCCACGGACAAAAATGTGTGCTTCAAAGTTAAGACCACAGCACCACGTAGATACTGTGTAAGGCCCAACAGTGGAATTATCGATGCAGGAACATCAATTAATGTTTCTGGTAAGCCATTCAAGTGGTTCTTTGCTGATTGAAAATAGCTTCTTATAATCAGTTATTTCTTGGAATGCCTTGCAGCCTGAAAGTATTTTGGTGAATCCAAGAGGTTGCTCTCATAGAGAAGCAGCCATTTCATGTATCCTTACTTCCCTTTCTCTTAGTCTGGCGGTTGTAGGTTTGGTCTTACATCTTGTTTTGGAGAGGAAGACGGTGGAAGTATATAAATGATTGATATGGTTCATTAACAGCCTCAGCCAGCGTATCCAAACCCCTGCTGCAGCAGCCCTGCCCTCCCTGTGGGATTATTTTTGTACAGTTAGTTTTTTGCCAGCTTAACTTCCTGAACCAGCTCACCACGGGGTCAAACAAGTGCTTGGATGAGCACATTAAGGGAAGAATAAAACTGGGTGGACTGTAGCCACTGGTTTAGACTGGTGTGGTCTGATGCCAAACTGCCTCTGATTTAACCAACAATGAAAACATTTACTTTCAAACCATACTTGCTTTGTGTGCCTTGAAGATTCAGTATCCTTTGGTGTTAAAAATGTCAAATGACTAAATCTTTGCTGTTGCATAGGAAAAGTTAATGATTTTGTCTAATGAGTCAGTAGCTCTTGACTTGCCTAAGTTTGGTAATGGAAAAGCAAAGGAGTGGCTTACTTTGAAAGCATAAAGAGCTGAGCAGTCTCACAAACAATATCTGTATATTATTAATTTGCTTATAGTGTATTCTCTCAATAACTTCTCTGATCCATGTTCTTAATAAAGAATTCTATCAAAGGATGTAGTTGTGGCATATTGGATGAATGAGGTCAGACTTTAGTTAAGAAAATTACTCCTCTAAACATGCAGATTCAGATTTGCTTTGCTATTCCTAAAAAAATTAATATTGGCATGATAAGAAATATTACTGATAGGTTATACAGTTTGCTTCTACCAACCTCTTTTATCCTGGGATAAATTTTTGGGAAGTTAAAACCACAGCTTTTTATTGAAAAAAAATTAACATGTGAAAATTAAGAGTTCAGTTTCTTAATAAAATGTAAAATATTTAAACACCTCACCCTTGGAGAGAGCTAGCTTCAACAAAATAAAAATTGATCCCAAAACCACTTTGTACTGTAAAATTAAGCAACTCTAATCCTCTGAGTCTTCTTGTACATGCCCATATTTGCACACTCATTGATCTGTTGTCTTTGGGATTTCTGCAGTGTCAAATTGAGTGTGCAAAGGGCTGCAGGATTGTGCCTCCCTTGCAGTTAATCCCAGGGGAATGTCAGTGAGGAGGTAACCAGGGAGTGGTGAGAGCTCCAGGTGGGGCAGGCAAAGCACTTCTGGTTCAGGAGAGGGCCAGCACGTACCCAGTGAGCTCTGAAGTGACTAATATGTAAATGAAAAAGCTCTCTGGAGAGAAATGGAGATTTTAAAAGTCGGAACAATTCCCAAGTAAAGCTGTCTGTCATCTATACTAGCTGCAGGCAAGCATATCAAATGCACTGAAATCAATGAAATGATAATGAAAATTAGCATGGTTTCTGGCTACAAATTATCTTCGTGCTATAAAGATGGTGGATGCTTTTCATCTTGCAGATGAACTTTGAAAATTAAAAGCCTACTTCCTTTGCAGGCTCTTACCAGGCTTTTTGAAATGTTGTCTTGATCTCAGTGTTGAGTTTTGATCACAAGTGCCCCTTAGCTCCACCTTGAGCAAACAGAGTGCAGGCAAGTGTTGTAGGATCCATCTCTTGTTATGTACCAGCACCTTGCTTTTCCATCCTGACCCTTCCCAGTGGCACACCAGGCAGAGTGTGGATGTGGTCCAGGGCTAAACTGTCCCCTTATGAGACTGCTGTGCTAACCCTGAGTTGTGCTTTGCTCTTGCTTACACAGCTTTAAGAATTTCCCTTTTCTGATAACTTTATTCATAGTGATTTATGATTTGGAAAATTTTTGGAAAATGGATGTGATATATTTAATCACAAGCTCACATGTGTGTTCTAATATTTCCATGCTGATATTAACAGTAGTAATAAATAACAATCTTAAATTGCCAATCCTTACATTAGCATTATTTTTAAAAATGTAAGCAGCAAACTTCTATTGTTCCTTAAGTAATAAGCTCCTTCAAACCATGCATGGGATCTAATCTTGGACTTGAGGATGGCAGTGTCTGTGGTTTTGATCAGCAAATGGGATACTTTGGATGGGAGGGATCAAAAGAGGAGACTGTTACTAACTTGCAAAATAGAATTGTTTTCAGATTGACAGGAAGGGGGGAAGATGTGTTTAACCTTTGCTTTGGAGTAATATTGCTTCAGAGCAAAAGACTGATTTTGGAGTTAATGAAGTGAAAAATAAATAGAATTTGTTTCTTTGCCTCTAAATCAGTTACCTTTTCAGTCATTTAATTCAAGTCATGCACAGGTCATAAAAATAGGACTTGAATGAATAGGACTTGAATTCCTCCAAATCTAGTGAAAATACTACTGATGAGACATTATTTAAAATATAGTTAATACAGTAACTTCTGGACACTTAAGCTAATTGGGTTGTGTTTACTATATGCAATCTGTTCCTTCCACAATTGCTGACTGGCTTTACCACAGCCCCTGATAGCACTGCATTGGTGCTGTGCCTTGTCTCCAAAAAATCAGTGCTTCAGCATTAGTTAGTCTCAGAGAATATTATTGCCTGGAGCTGAATTTGGGACAGCCTCTTCTTGCTCTGTAGTAACCAGATACCTTTGTTATACTCCTGTGAAACTGTGTCTCTACTATTTTGCTGTGAGTATATGAGAAGATACTTTGCTCTAAGAGGCAGCAGTTGCAATTTATTTCACACTAATATGATGGCTCATTTAAAAACCTACAAAATGCTAGAAAAATAAATCTCACTTTAATCTAGTGGAGCCTCAAGTGATGCCTTCTTATGCCATATCACAGCTTTTGCTAAGTACCAGCATTTGAGGCCCTGTCAGCATGTGCTGCCTGCTGGGATGTCAGGCTTGGAGCCCGTGTTTTCACCTGTTATATAATGGCATGTAATTTTAACAGCTGAGTTTATGTAACTGTCGGGAAGTGTGTGTGCACTGTCATCTGATTCCATTGCACTGGGGCTGCAGTACTTGGTAAGGGAGTATTTGCTCACATTCCACTGCTGCTAAGCACCTCTGATCTCACCAAAGATAGCTGATTTTGTGGCTTTGAAACCTAAATAAAAGCCATGAATGGATTACAAAGGAAAAGTGAAGGAGCACCAGCAGATGCTGATGAGTCTGCAGTGGATGTATAAGGAGGAGAGAGGAATTGCAGATGGTACCATCTGTGCACAGTGTCCCACTGAACAGAGCAGTCTGAACGCGCCTCCCAGAAGGGAGGAGGAGCTGATGTTAGCCTTGGGTTGCTGTCCAGTATCTGGGGGGATTTTTAGTCTTTTCTGAGCTTTCCTGACTTTGAAAAGGCAGGAATGGAGCTGCAGCCCTGTGCTCTGCAGTCAGAGCAGGTCTGCCCCATTCCCTCAGGCACTGATTGTGTCCCATCCACTGCTGCATTCCCAAGCTTTCCCTGGAAGTGTCACTCCTGTGCCCTGTTCCCACAGATGTGCCAAGCAGAAACTACCAAGTTTTGCGTTGTTCTTGCCTGCCCGCTTTAAAAATCTATCTTGATCTTCACAAATTCAACACTTCTTAGAATTATTGAAATATTTACAGAAATTTTATGTTTATTTATGTAAACATGAAACAAAGGTGGGATGGTGGAATGGATTCTGCTAATTTCTGTAGATGCGAGTGTCCTTTGCTTACCTTTGCCAGAGCTGATGGAATTCCACAAGGATCTTGAGGCTTGCCCCTATTTCTGGAATTTCATGAAGAATTCCATGCAGTGCCACTTGGGAAAATGATTGATAAAGGTAGAAAAGAAAAAATAAATTGGCAGTCTGTTGACTTAAGAATGAATAGTGATGTGGATGGAAATGTGATAGCAGGGAACTACTAGTGATGTTTCTTGTGAGTGATTCTTGGTTCTAATCTTGTTTAATGCTTTTACAACCAATTCTGGAACAAAGAGTCCACTAAAAACTGATGATGTTGTAAAATTGAGAGATTGAAGATATACAGCAGAATTAGGTGTCTTTGAAGGCTACAGTAAGAGAAATGGGATGAGTTTCATTAGAAAAACTGAAAATCACATATTTGGAGAATAAAATAGTCTGGCTGCAATTGCACGCTTGTTGAATGAAGGGGCCTGATTGGGGTGAGCAAGATAATAGCCATAAGAATAATAAGCCATGATGTGGCTGTGAGTAAGGCAGATGTAGTGTCATACATGTGGATAAGGGAAGAGGTGAGAGGGCACAAATGCTGTGGTTCAAGGCACTAGTAAAGTTTCCTGCATGTGTAATTAGAGGAGCTCAAACCAAAACAGGTGCAGAGGATGAATGGGGAGCCTGGCCTTGAGAGAACCCACCAAGTTTGGCTTAAGTTTACCAGTAGGCCAGGAGTTACTGTGATTGATGGCTTGGAGGGCACCAGAAGTAAATGACTCTTCCCCTTCTCTGGTATTTCAGCATGAGGGCAGTGTTGGTCCAGGACCAAGTAAACAGGCCATTAATAAATTTAGATGGAAACTAGAGGAAGGTTGCTGACTATCTGAGCTGGGAGACTTTTCTGTTCCTTTTGCTCTTGGAAAGGACAGCTAGATCCTAGCAGGTGTTAAAGGTGTTACCTGCTTCAGATTTCCTCTGTTCTTTGAAAAAGCTGGTTTATTCTAGGAAAACCAGAGGAGTTTAATGCTTCTATCATTGTAACTAATTTTAACTAACTTTGCCAGTAAACTTTTCTATGGAAAAGAAGGAGTGTATTGGGTGGTCAGTGCCTCTCCTTAGCTCTCTACTGAGTGTAAAATGCTGGGGATATTGCAGAAATGTGTGAGAAAACCCAAGGCCATTGATCCCAGTGACTCTGCAGATTTTGCTTGTGGTAAAACAGTGCTGGTGCTCAAGCTCTGGGGTGAGCAGCTTGGGATATATTGAGATATATTTCTGCCTGATGGATGCAGCTGACTGTAAACTTGAAGATCACATTAATAATTTTGTTTCTTCAAAATCTGATTACTGATGAAAGCTGAAGCTTCTGACCAGATGGGACAACTGATGTGATAAGGCATTCTGTAGGAACATACTTCTCACATAATTTTTGCATAAGGTTTGTGGTTTCCATTCAGAACAAAGGAGCCACATTCCCACTAGCAATTTCTCCAGCAATTAGGGCAATTTTATGGAACTAATCTTTCACAGAAACCCCAATAGTATGTGGATAAATATTAAAATGGTTTGGTTTCCTCTTGAAAAAAGTACATATTTTTGAGCTGCCCATCTGGCTTACAAGACATTTGCTGAATAATTTGTGTCAATGTGGCTTTCAGGTATTGATCTAAAACTACAAGTGCTACCAACGTCTGTGCTGTCAAGCCCTCTCTGGCTCGTGTGGTTCAGTGAATGGAGCTGGGAGCAGTGATCACTTGGCATTCCAGGATGGATTCAGCACTGTCTCTTGGGAAATGAGGATTTTCAAATGAGCTGATAGTTGCTGATAGTTTCAGTTCCCTCAGCAAAGTGAACTGAAAAAACCCACAATTGTAGAAGTTCCATAAATGCTGAACAGTTCTGGCTATCCAGTTGGATCTTACATTGGAATTACTTAAGTGTCTGCTACAGAGGAGAAAAAAAACTATGCTGCTGCTTTTCAGTGATGTGTCAGGCAGTGTTGAAATAGTTGTGCTTTCACAGTGCAGTCACTCCTGCTTGCAAAATAGTTTTAAAGGTAGCCAGTTAATTTGCAAACATTTTAAAAAATAATACCCAACTACTGCAAGGTGAGTTAAAAATGTATAATAATTTTTAAAGGACCTCATCTGAGAGAATTTATTGCCTGCCTTCTCTCTGGGCTTTAAAAGGCATTTGGTTGTTGATGGCCACAGATTGTGTGCACAGTAAAGATGGCACAGCCATAACGTATCCTGTTCATTAAGGGAGGCAAATTGGCTTGACTTGCCTTCATTTGCAACAAATGGGATCTTTGGGTATTGCTTTTATATGGCAAACCCCTGCAATTAGTGCATATGAATTTGGGCACATAATGTTAATAGCACCAGTACTTGAAAATGCTCCTCGTTCTTGAACTGCTTCTCTTCTTAGTGATTGAATTGAGGGGCTGAAGTAAGACAGGTCATAAAATATCAATTTTTAAACCTTGCACTATTTCTTTCTGTTAGCAGTAATGGCAGTATTTGCAAGCTTCATTTTCAATTTGAGGGGGGGCTGGCTTTTTGCAGTGTCTAATAACATGTTTGTGTAAACTGTGTTGCTTATTTCCACATGTTCTGTCTCATGCTGAAGCCAAGCTTATGTTTTTAATGCCCCAATAGCTGAATTTTCGGGTGTCATTTGCAAGTATTGGGGTTCCGTGTGACACCGTGATCAAAGATTATTCCATGCAAATGGAATATCCAACTGTCTCTCTTCAGGTTGCCTTAGCCCAAAAGCAAAGACATGGAAATTCCCACTATTGCTTTAAAAAATTTAAATTAAAGCACACACACTCCCTAAACCTGCTGTTCCTTCCTCTCTGCCCCCTAAACAGAGTCATTTTCTGCATAAGTAAATTTTGGAATGCTTTTTATTTTTCGAAGGAAGAGAAATGCATTCCTTGCATACCTTTCATAGGCAAAGTTTGCACCGCATTTAACTGTAAACTTCCAGCTATAAATTGGTAACAAACTTTCAGTAATTTATTTGTGGAAGCAAAATACTTGTACTTGATAAATCAAATGCCCTGAGACTCTTAAATTTTGCAGAGGAATTTTCCATCCCGAGACTTGAACCTAAAGGTTTATAATGTTTGACTTTGCCTCTGTAGCTTTTCTCGGGCACCATCAGCAATATTGTGTGTACAGCTCATCAAAATGCTTCTTACTTCTGCCCCAAGGATGAAGCAAGACAAAAAGATGCTGTCTTGGAAAAATTTTCCCTCTGTCCCAGAAGATATGTAAATGATCCTATTTCCTATAAATGACTATTGCTATCTTGCCATAGCTGTGTACTGAATTATGTAGTGATCAGCGTTTCCAGAATTCTCAGACAAAGTCTAGACAGACTGAGGAAATCTGTTTCTCTTGCCTCCTTTCAAAATTCTGGTTTAAAGTGAGGTTCCTGATCTCGGCTGCTGCTTTGGTCTTAACAGCAGACAACTTGAAGCCATTTTAATGTTTGTTTTTCTGGAATCTGGTAACTGTGTCATCAGTGCATGACTCTGCACCAGAGCAATGTTAATGCAATGTGTTCTGGGTTTTTTTCTTCCAGTGATGCTACAGCCTTTTGACTATGACCCTAATGAGAAAAGTAAACACAAGTTTATGGTTCAGTCTATGTTTGCTCCAGCTGATACTTCAGATATGGAAGCAGTAGTAAGTATTGAAATTAATTAAAATGTATTTCTTTCTAATTGTAGAATTTTGTAAGTCCTTTGACTGCATTAGGGGGTGTTGTCAAACCACACTGGAATGGTGTGGTTTTCCAGATTTCCATCTCTGCATGGCAAGGAGTTTTCTGTTATTTTGAGCCCCAGGAATCTTTCACTGAGAGTTGTTGTCTGTGGTTGCTTCTTTAGGAAGCTGCTGTCAGTAATGGGATGCCAAGCCATGAAACAAGTAGTTGTAGTTTTTTGCAATATATCCTTCTTTAGAAGGGCCAGCTTGGACCATATATTCTAAGGATATACAGAATATATTCTATGTCTGTGGCATAATTTTTATGCATCTGCTCTCAGTCTTGAGTCTTCTCTTGAGCAGCTCCTTTTGCAAGATGCAAGAAGATGATTTACAAGTATTGTATTTTTCTTTATCCCTACCTATGTCTGCTGTGGCTTTGTAAATGAAAGGCCCTCACAGATTCTGTCCTGTGGATTACAAATGCGAGCAGTAGAAATATGCAGGTGCTGGAGCAGAGAAGGACAAAAGACATAAAAATAAGATGTCAGGCTACAGTAAGATAATCTGCAAAGGAGTAAACCATTATGTCAACTGCTGGATTTCTTTTATCAGCAAGATTTGCCCTCAGAAGAAGACACAAGGAAGCTCTCTGTAGCCTAGCTTTTGTTAGCTTGAGAGAACATTCAGTGGCTATTGAGGACACAATATAAAAAGGAAAAAGACCATTACTCTAAAGGTGTGTGGCTTGTGTGTGCCACTTCAAAAAGCCAACCCAAAAATACCCTACAGTGGTCTTTACAATGTGTCTTCTTTTGAAAAGCTTCTTAAAGCTGGGGCACTCTGCAGGTTAATAATTTCCCTTCTGAAACTGATTTATGGAACTATATTTGTTTAATGGGCTCAAAATAAGATCCAGGGGGAGAAACAGCAATAGTAATAAAAATGTCTGCATCACTAGAAAGATAAGTCAGTCTGCCTTTCTTTCGAGCTCTTTAATTTTTATGAGTTACTTTATACCATGACAAATGTTATTCTGCTGGCAAAAAATGTTTTTTAGTATCTAGATGGGCCTTTCAATTTTCCAAAGCTCTCCAGACCGATAGGGTTCCTTTTCCTGTAACGCTTTGATCAGTTCTCAGTTTTGTTACCATTCTCCAGATCTCTTCCTATTCTGGATGAACAGGTGAGACCAGTTACGGGAGTACTATAAAGCTTTCAACACTTCACAGGCAGCCAAGGAGCTCAAAATAGATCTGACTTCAGCCCCAGAAGAGCTGAACTAGGATTCAGCTATTTAGGATGAGTTAAATACTACTCCAGGTTGCATGGGCTTAGCCATAATTTGTCACCTACTTGAGATATGCTGAGGAATACCAAGCCACCAGGAGGATGGTCAAAGTGAAGAGGAGCACGTGAGAACTCCAGGATAGAAGTGTGGACACTTCTTGCTGTTTATTATCACTGAGGATAAATCTTTTCACTTCGGGGTTGCAGCTGATACTGAGCAAGGATTTATTACTGCTGCTCCCTATTAAAAAGGTTGCAAGGAATCTTGTTTATGGCAGACTCCCCAGCTGAAGGGGAGAGAAGGTGTGAGGGGAAGTTATCCCTCTGTATGGAGCACATCTGGTGCTGTTCAGCCATTGATGCTGAAAAATAAGGATGTGGAAAGCAAGGGGGGGGAAGAACAGTCCTGTAGTTTATTCCCGTTGGGAAGAGAAGCTCATGTGAAATTTGAAAAGTTTGAATAGGAGCTCCACTGGCCAGAGAACTGAGAATTCCCTCTGTGATTTATCTGGGGGCTTGTTATCTTTCTCTTCCCTTGAATTCACCCCTCCTTTTATTTTTTTTCCTTCTTTTTTTTTTTTTTTTTTTTTTTTAGTAGGCTTGTAACTCCCCCCATCTCTGCTAATTACTCTGACACAGTTCCCAGTTCTCTCCTAAATTACCTGTGGAAGTCTCAGACTATTTAGAATGATTCATTTCATAGTGTCTGGCCTGTCTTTACGATACCAGTCAGTTTTGGGTTTGATCTCATTTTTCATCCTGTGTGTGGTTAATGGTAGTGTGATAAACACCTGTGGGTTCTGATTTAAATGGTGTGATTTGTTTACATAATGCACTGCATTTCCAATTGTCCTGATTGTACTGATAGGTTTAATATGAAATTAATATTAACTTTTTCCAGTGGAAAGAAGCAAAACCGGAAGAACTCATGGATTCGAAACTTAGGTGTGTGTTTGAGCTACCAGCAGAGAATGATAAGCCTGTGAGTATTTTCAGATGCATATTGAGTGATTTAACTTAATACCACAGTCAATCCTGTCAAATGGCATGTTTGTACAGACAGCTATATAAGCACAAGACAGAACCCTCTGTTTCACTGCCTGGATGGCATCACCCTTTAAAAACACAATGTAAACTATTTAAAATCTTGGTAATCCTTGGTATAACTAACTTCATAAGTGCAACAGTAGCACAAAGCAATTTTGGAGTTGATCTGTTTTCATTTAGTGAAAGGTCACAGGATAAAGAATACTTTAAAAAATTAAAGGTGCTGATTGCTGGTTGTGAAGCTCAGAGTTTATACTGAAGCAGTTATCAGCAATATGAATTTGCCTGTCCAACACTTCCTTAGTACAACTCCAATTTTGTCAGGTAAATTGATAGAAAACTGGTGAGGAAGACACAAATGCAGTTAGGAATTATATTGAAATGATCATCCATATTTCTTGTTAGGGTAATGGACATGTTAATTTGTAATGCAAATATGTTTTGTCCAGTATAAAACTGATAATTGATTGAATAAACTGAAAAATGCTTCCTCATGTGCAGGTACTAAAGGCACAGTGTTCTACCTTGCACTGAACAGTCTGTAATTAGTATTATGTAATTGTCTGGGGAGATGTTTCATTTTATGGGAGACCCTTTGTAAAGTGCAGAGCACAGAGAAGATCCAAAGGCAGGAGAGGGAACAAGGCTGGGAGGGCTGAACTTTGTTTCCAAGCTTGGGTTGCAGATTCCTCCATCCCCACAGAAACCCAGAAATAGGGAGAGGGGACAGCCAGGAGTGGGGAGTGAAGGGGGAGGAAGCTGCAGCACTGTCCTGGCTCCTGCAGTGGCTGCTTGTGCTGTGTGAGGGGAGGGAAGGGGGAAGAGACCATTGATTGTGGACCTGGTTTAGGGACATTTCTGTATATGCAGGCTCTGAAAAGTCAAGGTCATTCTTCACTTACTGCTGCTGATCTGATGTTTTCTGGGATAGCAGTAAAGTTACAGAACGTAAAATGTTGTTTATTTCTTTTGATACAGGCATGTGTCAGGTGTGCACAGACAATTTTACCTGATTGTCCTCCTATGTATCAGGTGTGTGGTGTGGTGTTAATAACTAACCAAAAATCACTCTATCCTTTTTTAACAGCATGACATAGAAATAAATAAAATTGTATCCACAACTGCAACAAAGACAGATTCCTCTGTAATGTCTAAATCAATAAGTTCTTCTTTGGATGACACTGAAGTTAAGAAAGTAATGGAAGACTATAAGAGGCTTCAAGTAGAAGTTCAGAGGTTACGGGAGGAGAATAAACAGTTTAAGGTAAAGATTGCTGTTGTTTTTTTTTCAGATTTACCCCTTTCCTGAAAACGAAGCTTTCATCTTAAAGGTTTGGTTACCTGACCTTAGCACAATATTTTACTGCTGTCTATAAAGTACAAGATAATTCAGGTTTCTCTGTAAACTCGGAGAAGGTGCTGAAATCAATGGTTCCTTTGAAAGGAGGCACAAGTCATGCAGTCACAGAAGGTGATTGGGTAGCAACCCAGAGGAGTGAATTCACCTTCTTTTTTCTTTTCCCACCTAATTTCTCAGTCTGAATTAAGCATTCAGTGTTGGACTTGGCCCCTTCTCCCAAACCGTGGGAGCTTGAGGGCAGTGTTGTGCAAATACTGAGTGTTTCAGTAATTGCACCTGTAATGTGCTGCTGAAATGGCCAAATTAAGACAGATGAATGGGAAATGGGCTTCCTGTCATATCCAGCATGTGGCTGGGAAATCCAGTAATTGAGAAGCCTTTATCACTCTGCTGAAAAATTCTTTTTACAGTAGCTTGACTTGCTGTAAGTGTCTACTTCCATAGATATCAGCACCAAGGAAAGTGTGGATGCTGTGACTCTTGCAGCCCAGTGAAAGGAGCTCTGTTCTCTCAGCTCTGATGCTGCTTGGCTGGCTGATGCATGAAGGAATTCTTGAAAACAGTTTTGTTTTGCACAGAAATAATATGTGTACATAACAGACGTGGCCCTAACTTCTCCTTGTGTTCTTGTTTTGCCAGCAATTCAGTACTCTTAAGTTCTATATGATTTTATTGAATTTTTTTGCAAATTGGTCTTGACTAAATGCTCTACAGGAGCTATCTAGAATTGAGCTGATGTCTTACAGTAATGTGCCTGATAGGTGAGCTCTTTGTTCCCTTTGTGGAGTGTTAAAAACACCTGTAAAATATCAGAAAGCCATGCTAAATCACTGCCTGCTACCTCGTGCTGTCAGTGTCAGGCTGGAGTCAGTGTCAGAAGGAAATGAAAATATTTTAAATGCAAATTTGTTGTTTCTATGTAAAGTGTGTTGTATGTAAACAGTATTTTATTGTTTACAAAGTCAGTTGTCCCTATTTACAATTAAAGCAGCAGTGAGGTATTCGGTAGCCTGTGGCTTTCAATTAGTAAATTAATTAATTAATTAACAGAAAAATAAGCTCAGCTTCAGATCATATAGGTGTCCCTTTAAATTCGAAAGTGGGAAACACTGACCTACCCTGAGCCCTTTGAACTTCACTTACCTGACAATTTTGAAGACTGCAGTAACTTTCATTACTATATCTGTTTCTTGAGTATTTTTTTAAGTATAGACTGGAGACTTTTTGTTTTGGTACCTTATACTTTTGCACTATAATACTGTATCACATTAAAAAGTCTAACACTGATGCTTTAGCTGGACACAAATTAAGCCACAAAAGACTCATTTCCCCTCTCCTGAAGTGCTCTGAGTGTGTGTGTGTGAGACTGGAGTGTGCTAACACACAGCTGTGCTGCACAACAGCTCAGGGAGAGCTGAGGGGAGCGTCAGTCCCACCTGAAATGAGAATATCTGCTGGTGTTGCTTTGTTTTATCTGTTATCTCATCTTTAAGTCAGGTGAGCTGCCATAGTCCTATCAAAAAAATATCCTAATTAATGCCATTAGGTTCATGTCAAAAATGTCAGCATTAATATGATGGGGAATCAGATGTCCCTTCAAGGGCTGGGAAGATGCTTGTGACATGTGACATAGAGAATGAGGAGTGTAATTGCCTTGGCTTGTGAAAAACATGCAACTTCATCTCAGTTATACTGAGAAACATTTTCCCCAGCAGCACCTTCCTTGTTACAGAGCGAGAAAAGCACTTTCGTGGCACTTCCTCCATCATTTTTCTGAAGTTCTGGAGCCATCCCTAGGCTTTGGACAGGGATTCCTGCAGGATTCCCCAGTGTTCCCCCACTCCCTTAGCAGGACAAAACTTCCCAGAGTGTGTGGCTTTCCCCTCCTGCCTCACTGCCCTTCCTTCTCAGGATTATTCAGGAAACAGCTCTAACTTAGCTGTAAATTTGCTTTCACCTATTCTATAGCACCCACCTAAATAATAAGAGAAAGGTGAATATTTAAAGCTTTTTTTTGTAGAAATAATCAACACCTCTTCCTTTAGGAAGAAGATGGACTGCGGATGAGGAAGGTACCCCAGACAAACAGCCCAATATCTCCTTCTGCAGCTGCTGTCAAGGACGAAGGGCTCAGCTCCAGACTACTTGCTTTGGTGGTTTTGTTCTTTGTCTTTGGTGTAATTATAGGAAAAATAGCCTTGTAGAGGCAGCATGCTGGAAATTGTAAATTGGTTTGATGGTTCTGCCATATCATTGGATTAAATTTATTCATAACAATGTTTAAAAAAAAAATTAATGTATGACATCTCACAGGTCTTGCCTTTAAATTACCCCTGCACAAATACTATGTAACATAATCTAGAAAGTTCAAAATGTATGGTGAGGGAATGAATGAAAGAGAATATGCTTCAATGATGAAGGGGGGAGAAAATCCTGATTTAACACTACAATGGAATATTGTATATGTCATTTTAAACATTCTTAGACCCTGGTACATGTTGCTGGATTACCTCTTTTTAAAAAAAAAAAAGAAAAAAAAAAGAAAAACTAGAAAAACCTCTTCCTCCACTGCTGGAGCTGGCCCTAGGGATGTTTGGAGCTGGGTTAGGCAGGAGGTGTTGATAACTTCTGTAAAATACGTTAATCCACCATTCTGCTCATGAATTTAACAGTTTCTGTCAGTGTCTTCAACTCTGTGCAAGTTACCAATTTCTTGGCACTTAAATGAGGAGTGAGAAGCTGCAAAGACTTCTCTGTGGCAACACTGAGGGAGCTGGGCAGCACCCAGGGGCTCGTTCAGAATAAAGGTCAATGCCTTGTTCTCACCAAGGGACCAAGCTACATTGCTGTTGGTTCATTTAGTTGAATTAAAATGTTATTCAGAGATGTTTAATGCATATTTGACTTATTTAATGTATTTCATCTCATGTTTCCTTATTATCACAAAATTGACTTAATTCTTTGTGGTATGAAAAGGCACCTGTTCAAAGCCAGTGACAAGAACTAAAATTTTGCTGCTGTAGTGGTGCAAGATTCTTCTGCCTCCTGGTGTTTTGGGCACTACACAATTGTTGGGAGTTTTGATCATCTGAGTATTGGAGAAACAGTGGTCAGGAAACAGTTTTTGTATGTAAATAAGTCTATTTAGGGGAGAAACAAAAATATCAGTAGTAAACTAGTCCTATGCCGTAAAAAGACCAATCTTGTTTGACTATGTAGCATCTAAAAAAAAAAAAAAAAGAAAAAAAGAAAGAAAAGAAGAATTAAATAAATCCCCCAAATTAATGTTTCCTTTGTTACTTTTGTCCTGTTCTCACAGTTTTAGAGGTGGGAAGGAAACAATGTTCTCTTGTCAGCTTTGTTCATGGCATAAGGAAACTTGCAGTCTGATTTCAGGGTGAATTTCTTTTTTTTCCAGACTAATTTTAATATCAAACCAAACCATCCCATCGTGAGCCTGACGCACAAAAGTTGTTCAGAGTAACCATGCTGAGGTACAAGGTAACATCCCACTTTCCAGGTTAGTTGGGTTCAGGAGTTCAGACACTTGACAGCACTTTTAGAACAAGGGGATTTTGTTTCTAAGCTTCCTTTTACCACAAGGTGTATAAACAAACTCAGTATATTTTAACATGATGGATTCAGTAGATTAAAGTCTTTAAGCAGGTAAATTCACATCTATTCTTAAATGCTAGATCCAAAAACATCCAGTGGCAAAATTTGTTGTAGCATACTACAAGATGAAGCCGAGTCTTTTACAAATGACTTCTGTCATTCCTTCCCTGCTCCTGGGATTCTGTGAGAGCCGTGGGGGCTGCAGCCTGTCTGCTGCACTCCTTGACCTTTGTGTTGTCCCACTTGTGTCTCAAGGGCTTCCTCCTCTGCAAGTGCAAATAAGGGAAATTTTATGTAAGGCTTAATCAGAAAAATGGGTGGGGGAAAATCGTGTAATTGGTGAGTTCAGCATATGAACGTGGTTCTGGGATTTCTAGGGGAGTCAATAGAAAGGAGAGGTGTATTTTTAGCATTTTAAAGTGCTGGTGCCTTGTCTGCTCAGAGAGAAGGGACAGAGCCACTGCAGCCTGGCTGCAAAGGGCAGGGCAGGTGGGAGATGAGCTGGAAAGGACAAAGCAAGGGACTTTATAGGACAAATTGGGCAGAATTAATTCAGAAGAAGATATTGCCTGGGCAGTAGAAGCTGAAGAAAACTTTCTAATGAAGCATTCTTGTCAGAAAGACAAGGTTGTGAGTGATACTGCAAAATTAATTTTCATGGCTTTGAAGAATATATTTGAGAAAACCTTTGCTAAAGGGAGACTGAGATATGAAGTAGATTTTTTTTAATGGCTGTAAATATCTTGTTCTCTTATCAGAATTTCTGATTCACTTTAAAAACACTAAGAATTTTTGGAGTCTTTTGTTCTGCTTAAAAACATCCAAAAAGAGGGTGGTTAAAAAAAAAAATCACTTGTCTGCAGGATAAAGGGAGGAGGTTTAAACTGGTCTCCTGTGAGGATATCTGGAGTAATGTTCCAGGCAGGTTTTACACCTGGTGTAAGCTACCACAGCTGCTTTTGCTGGCCCGGGGCAAAGCCAACAGCAGCTCTGTCCTCCCCCAGTGCTCAGCAGGGACTTCTTGGTGACCTGTGCCAGCCTGGAACTGTAAATCGTTCATGAGCAAAGTTGTTCCTGGTGTTTGCGCTCCGGGATCATGAAGAGGTCCCAGAAAACCTCTTCATTCTTTTCCAGGCCCTTCAAACACTGAGCAAGGAGACCAAGAGAGGATTTCAGTGTTGGTAACATCTGTAACTTGCAGCTGGGCTGACCCCCACCATCAGTCCTAAACAAGACTCTTAAATTAACTGTGTGTATTTTGGAATTTAACAAAATCCTGAGGTTTTCCCTCACCATTTTTGACAAGAGCCTGAACACAGTAGCCCTGAATTGTCTGGGTAATGCTTTGCTTTGCTGAGCTTAAAATAAAGTCACTGATCGAGGGAATTTTCACTCCCTGTTTGACCAAACCCTTCTTTCATAGGCAGTAGAGAGAAATCTTAAAGATTTTCTTTTCTTCCACAGTTCTAAAAGGCCAGTTTGTAGATAGAGTGCAAATATAGATCAGATGGATATTCTAAAGCCACATGGCTCTTTTTGTAAGTTGTTCCTTTAATGGCAACAGAAGAGCAAATGTTCTCATGAAGTATTCACAGAAAGTGAATTATTCTGAAGGACATTGTATATCTTAGGAAGTTGTGCACAAAATGTAGAGTTTCTAAATAAAATAATTGTCTGGGGTCCTTACACAACATCAGATATTAGAAACCTGTGATTGATTCATGGTAGTAGAAATCAAGTTACTGCTAATCTAATTATTGTCCTTGCTGTTACTTTAAGATGACCACTTGCACATTTATTGTTGATTTTTGTAACACCCCATAGAAGCTGCTTGGTGCACTCTGGGAGAATTTGGGATAAACAGATACCTGAAATATCTTGAAGCCTAGTGCTGGGAAAGGAATGGAAAATGGTTTCTTCTATTTTTATGTAGTTCTCCACATCTTAAAGCAAATACTCAGTGCATGAATGATCATAATTGTTGTTGTGCATTGGCAGTTGTCAGCTGGGAATGCACAGCTGGAACAGCTGCATGTGCAAGCCAGGACCAGCTCAGGTTACTGGGGAGTAGCCTGGGGGCTGAAGAGCAAGATCATGTCATGTTATGTTGAGGAGGATTGATGTACCATAATGTCATTTTCTAAAAATACAGGATTGTAAAGCTCAATGGTGGTGTTACTTTTTCCTCCTGAAATGCTGTTAGCGGGGTAAAGTTGGAACTTCACTTTGCAATTCACTAGAATTTCTTTTCATCAATAAACTATGAAGGGTTTGTATCTGCTGCACATGTGAACTTGCAATTCTTGTCAGCAATTTTACATTGTGGTATGCACAAGGAATGGATCATTTATGTCTTGGCATACTTGATGTTGCACTGCCCAGTGGAAGAAAACTGTCATCCCTTTTCTTCAGAAAATGGCACTTCTGTCTCTTCAGTGAAATGTCCTTAATTTTCAGGCACGGTAGTGGCTTCACTGTAGTGCTCTTAAGTTTGAAACTATATTTCTCTTGCCCTATGTGATGTCCTGAAATTCCACATCCTGAGTTCTGTTTTCTATATAAAGTAAGTGAGGAAAAAAGTGCAACCAAAAATCCCTCTGTTTGAAATTAAAGCCCCTGTAAAAAAACACTCTGAGGCTCGTGTTTGTTGTGGCTGGGTCACAGCTGCACTGGTGCTGCATTGGTGCTGCACAGAGCCTGGAGAGCCACTGTGCCATGGTTTGGGAATGGGGAGGTATCCCTGGCCCAAGTCCTCAAATGAGCAAGTTGAGAAGTGGCAGGTGATGAGTGAAATTCAGTTTATGTGTTTGGGATTTTGAGAAGATCAGCTTCACAGAACAGAGTAATTGTGTTTCCACTGCTCAAATCTGCTGAACTATAAAAATTGGTTGATTAATGGGTTGGGGTTTTTTACTGAATAAATGAAGACTATTTTTAAAATAACACAAGTGAGAGCCAGCTAGGAATCTTGCACGTGGTGCTCCAGTGAGCACGCACCTGCACGCTTGCCGAGTGACTGTGTGCCTGTCACTCTGCCATTTCCTGTGGCTTCAGTTCCTGTTCAAGAACTAATTTCACATTTGTACTTGAAGAGTAGAACTTCAAAACCTTTACTGAACTTCCACATAGATCTCTTTGCCTCCCAGTCCAGGCCTGAGCTTGTCCTGAAGCCTCTGCAGAGTGAAAAGTACAAAAGGGACGCAGGGTCTGTGAGCACAGAAATGAGGTTGCTTTTCCTTGGAGTAAACTTGAACTTTGGATCTTTCCTCCTGTGATCTGTCATTAGAAAATGGCCTTTTCCAGAGAGGAAAACAAAAGAAGTTAAGAAAACAAATGAATTAAGAAGAATTAATTGAAGCTGTGTATTACAAGTTGACATTATACATCTGGCATTTCTGTTTATGTTTCTGCATTGGTACATTTCATTCTGATTTAATAAGTTCCTAATTTTGTGGGATTTTTTTTCAAGATTCTGAAGTGCCTATGAAGAACAGCCCATAGTAAAGTATTGTTCCCAGTTTAGCTGTACTTCATTTTTTTAATCAAATCTTTTTCTTTAGTGGATAAACTCACAAGATTAGAAAAGCCTCTTGAACTCCCTCATGTTTAGTTTGGCAAATGTCCCACACACAATTACCCACAGAGAGCTACTTTTAAAAGACCGTTATTGGGGCTGTACAAAGTCAAGCACTCAGGAGGTAGGAAATGGCAGAACCAGGTTTGTGCTCCATGAGTTTGGGGAGTACATTGCAGTGTCTGATCATTTCATGATCAAAAATTGAGCTGACACTGCTCAGAAATTGTCCAAAACTGCCCAGCCTTATGAGCCTGGACTTGGAGAACCCCAATTTCTCTCAAGTTACATATAAATAGGTTTTTAAAAGTTGAACTTCCAGCGTGGCACTGTGGTGTTGGGTGTAACCCGTGTGTGTGCTGGGGGAATTCTTTGTGTTCTGTGTGTGGATCCCCGTTCTTGACCTGAGCTCCTGGCGTGGTGGGGAGGAACTCGAAGCTGAAACAGCAATTTCTGTTTCCACATTTCACTGGGAGGCCACACACAAGTGTGATTGGAGCCAGGAATCTCTGCCTCGGTGAGAGCCCAGAGGAGCATTTCTGTGGGGGCTGGAGGCTCTGTTGCCCAATCTCCCTCCTGCTCTGTTCTGCCTGAGCTGTCAGATCTCACTCCATTCCCTCCCTCAGCGCTTTGGTCCAGGCCAAGTCATCCTTGTTCCTTCCCTGCTCCTTGGCAAGGAAAGCCTTGTTCAGCCGAGCATCTTTCAATGGCTTTTCTTCCCTGCTGCCTCTTTTCCATCTGGGTCTCTTTCTTCCATCACCCTTCCAGGCTTGCTCTTCCCTCCTGCCTGTCCCAGCCGCTGGCCCAGGGAGCCTGGGCTGCCTGGCAGGGCTGTGCCTTGGCATGGAGATCTGAGTGCTCCTGGATGCCTTTCCCCATCCCACACAGCCACTCACCTCCTGCTTCCTCTTTGTTTCTCGTCCTCTTCACTCTTCACGGAGTTTGGAGCAGCAAGCCTTGTCACCCATCTCCTTTCTGTCTCCTGCTTCCTCCTGCTGCTCCAGTGCAGTGGATTTATTTAGTGTGGGACACACTTTTATATTCCATGTGGATTGTTTCTCAAACAAAGCAGTAGCACAATGATGTTTTTTTGTTTCATTTTATCTGGGAAATCTAGAATGCATAAATTTGAACAGGGAGTCATGAAGGTGGTTAATTGGAAAAAGAAGTTGCTGTTAATTGAGCTGTGTGTCAGACCCAGGACTTTTTGTCTGGCAGACTTGGCTCACGCTTTAAATTTCTGCACCTGCTAAAGAAGCAGAAAATTGGAAAGGCAGCTTGTCTGAGGAGATCGTGATATTAAAGAAGGTACCGAAGGCTCAGTCACAGTGCAGGAAGCCAGAAAATTGTTTAAGAGACTTGGAAAATTAGTTTATTTTTGCTTTTTGGAGTGGTTAAAAATAATTAATCTTTTAAAAAATTATTCTAAGAGAAGTGAACATGGAAGAGTTTACTAAGATACATGTGCCTGTTACCATCAACTTCCAGCACATGCTGGTTTGGGTTTTCTACACAGGGACAGTAAAAACATATTTATTTGTTTTGTGGTAGAAAGGAATTCAATAGTCAGGATTAAAGCTCCTGGTCTGTATCCTAGACCTGCTTTTCTGAAGCACTGTTAGACATGAAGGATGAAATTATTTGGTTTATCTTGTTTATGCCAGATAAAGATAAATGAATGTCAGAAATGAGGTTGGGATCCTGATTGCAGTGGAGCTCAGAAAACAGCCATGTGAGCTGCTAATAAATGTAATTGGTGCTTCAAAAGGGCATAGCTGAGTGAATTTCATATCAGATCTGGGAGTGGGGAGGAAATTAGATGAAAAACTGAAGTAGAATTGACAGTTTTCTAACTGAAAGGTATTAAATGGCCAAAAACACAATAATTTTGCAATTGAGAAGGGGGACAACTTTGGCTAACTGCCCATCCTACTTCAGTGATGAAATGAGGGGAAAAACTAGATGGAAAGTAATACAAAACAAATCAGAAAAAGGGAAGCAGACAGCAATCCATTCAAAATGGGAGTTAGGAAATGTAGAAAATAAAGCACAACCCAGAGCAAAAGCAAAATGTGGGTTGGGGTGCTTGGAGAGGGTGATGAGGAGCTGAAGTTCAGAGGAAATATGCAATAGAATCAGAACTGTTAAGGAATAGATGCAGGAGGCAAAATCTAAGGATGATGTAAGAGAGCTGGAAATGTGATGTCATTCCTTAGCAATGCTCAGGATTAAAAATTAACAGTTTTTAATTCAGGAGGCCCAGAAACCTTGATCAGTGTTTGCAAAGGAGGAGTCTGGGGCAATGTCTGAGCTGCTGCCGGGGGTGGACAGTGGGTCAGGACAGTGGGACACCGTGGAAAGGGCTGGAAAAGGAGATGGATGTTCCTGACAGGGCTTGTTTTAAATCCTCTTCATTCAGTATTTTGGGTTTCAGTTCTCTTTGGGATCAGAGTGAGCTGGGTCTGTCAGGGCCCTGCAGAGCTCTGTTCCCTGACAATCACACACGGCTGCAGCTCAAAGAGAACCACCATGAAATGGGGATGCCCAAAGAAGGGTTCTGCAGGTACCTGGCAGATTCAGTGGTTCCAGATCACTGAGGAGCAGATAGACAAACTCACTGCTGATAAAACATTACAGAAATATCCATAGCCAGGACCAGAATGAATAACAGCTCCATGTACATTCCCAGTGCAGTCCCAGGGTAAAAGCCTAATGAATACGAATGTGTTCTTATTTTTAATTACTGTTAGCTGTAAGTGATTATCCTTCTTTATGTCTCAGCTGGGAGAGTTGGGAATTTTGGATGCAATTTGGATATTTACATTCTACAAGAGAAGCTGAGTAATTGGAATGGATGCAAAAAATATGATTCAGAAATTACTGGTGGAGTGTGAAAATGCCTTAGAGAGGGTGAGAGAAAACTCAGTTGGCTGAGTTTTTCTACCAGAACTGAGACTGTCTTGATTCCAGTGCACTAGTACCTTCACAGGCAGAAAATACTGCACACTGCAGCTCTCTGATCTTAAAAAGCAACACAAGAATCACCAACTGGCAGTCAAAGCCAGGCAAATTCGAATTGGAAAAAGGCACAAATTCTTAAGAGAGAATAACTGTGTAATTTAGGAATGTGTCTTCAAAAACTGTGAACAGAACAATAAAAGTTATGATATTTATGCAAATAGCTCTTCTGTGGGTTTTTTTCCTTTCAGAGGTGTACTTGGAGGGGGGAAGAGGACAAGGAGGCTCCTGATGGGGCAGTTCAGCCAGCAGAGCAGTGGGGCACTGGTGCTGCTGGAGGCAGTGGTGCCTGAGCTGCTGCAGGGCAGAGGCTTCCCAAGGGCTCCTTGCTAACATTGCATAAGTGTGTGATGGTGTTTCACATCACATTAATCCCATCCCCACCTGGAAAGGATCTGTGGCCTTGTAAGATCTTTTACACCCTGCAGGACCTGGCCACTTGTTAAGTTTAATCCATTTCTGTGCCATGTAAAGAAGTATCTGCTCACGACTCGGGTTCATGGGGGTAAATGTAGGGCAGGAATTGCCTCGTCCCTCTTCCACCCATGCTCCAAAGGCAGCACAAGGCTGTTCCCTGTTCCTGTCATGGGCATATGTGTCCTGCAGAACAGGTACCTGTGCTGATGGAGCCACAGGAGCCTTTCCCTGGGCTGTGCTGAGCACAGTGATGGCAAACTCCTGAAGGAAAAGTTCTGCCAGTGTGTGGCTTACAGGAGGTGCAGCTGAGCTGCCCAGGACTGGCCCCACTTCACAGTGTCCTGATGGGAACATCCCCAAGGAGACACCACCTCCTCTGAGATCACTTCAGTTGCCCTTGGAGCTCCATGCACCAGCAGGTACCAAAGCACAACCAACAAGACTGGAAATAAGATTTTCCTGCTGAAGTCTCCAGGGATTAGGGAGGGAACCCAAGGCAAGGCAGCCAAGCCTGGCCCTTCTGTGTATCACCTTCAAGTAGAGCTGTTTATGTGCATGACTAATGTTGGGTCATGCCTGGAACATGTGAACATGCTGACAACATTCATGTCACAACTGTAATGCATTTAATAAGCATCTCATTTGAATTATTAATGTACAGATCCCCCCGAAGTATTTTTGTGTTATAAACCCCATAATTTATCTAAGTACAAGCTGCAAGTTTGTAAATACAGCATTAAGAAGGTGGCTATTGCATAGCTGCTTTAACAAAATATCTTTTGTGGGTAAGATATATAGGCTTATTTGGAGAGGATTTATTTAGCTGCTGGAGAAGGGCTTCTCGAGGAAGTTGTATGATGCTTAGCTGCAGCAGACAGGGAATATAATTTCATCGTTTGTCCTGCTTGTCAGTAGGAATCAGTTTGACCTGACTGTGCTGTCTGATCTGAGCATCTCTTCAGCTCATTGTTCACCAGAGGCAGATTTATAAAACATCTGTACAGGAATGAGGCTGGAAGTGACACTTTGAGAGGAGAGCTGGAATAACAACTGCTGTGCCAGTAGCTGAGAAGGAGGCAGTGGAAATACGTGGCCTGAGTAGGTTGGTGAGGGATCTTTCCCTTCCCAGGGCACTTGGTGACAGTGCCTGTGCCAGGTATGGCAGCAGTGACATGGGGACACTGCTGATGGCTCAGCCAGGCCAGCACAGCATGGGAGAGCTGGGGTAACACAGCAGGGATGCAGTGGCTTGGAGCTGTTGTGCTCAGAAGTGTTTTCCAGCTGCTGTAATCTCTGCCCAGGGTCAGGTGGAAAAGTTGAGCCCTCTGTGAGGGCTGTTCTGGGCATCTCCAAGTGTTTGTGGGTCCCTGTGTGTGACATACACAGGCAAAGTGCAGAAAATATCTGTAAACTGCAAGAGGCATGTGAACCGTGCCCTTCTCAAGAACACTTGCTGACTGTTTATTGCTGACTGACTCTGCAGATTAAATTTGCATGAACAGCAAAAAGGAGTGTGATGGGAGGGAACTTAACCTCAGAGAAACTCGGCAGCCAACACTTTGGATGTTTGAATTACATCTGAATCAAGCTCTTGATTAAATCTTAGCAATGTCAAAAGCTCAAAGCAGCAATTTTAATTGATGTCACTTTTTCCCCCCTCATGCTGCTAAATTATCTGTTGCAATGTGCAGTGCATCCGTGTCAGTACATTAAATTTGCACGCAAAGAGGAGAGATTAGGCAATAAAGCCACAGGACAAACAGTGTGGAGTCAGGCATATCTCCTTGGCTTCGTTCACTATTGGGTGTTTTTAAAAAGTGTTTCCAAATCTGGGTAAAACTGATTCCAGATGTGCTCATTTCAAGGATATAAAAATCACGCTAGCACCAAGATTTATCTGAATTCTGCACTGTACCTGAAGAGATAACTAGTCCCATCTTACAAACAGAAGTGCTATAAACAATAAAAAGGCCACAGGCAAAGGTTTTAGTGCTTCGATCCCGTTAGCATCCTTTCTTCCCACGTATTTCAGACTGATGTAGTTGGAGAATTCCTCTGAGGCTGCAGCACACTGAATCAGGGGGGCCTGGTAGGACGTGGGGCGCTTGTCGGGGCTGTCGGGGCTGGAGCCGTCCGTGGGCCGCTCCCCGATGTAGAGGAGGCTGCGCTCCTGCGTGTCCTGCTCGGTTTTGAACAGCTCGTACTCGGTGTGGGGCAGCTTGATGCCCAGAGCCAAGCATCCGTTCGTGGGTGTTATATCCTGCTCCACGCCGGCGCTCCAGGAGCCCGCCAGCCCGCAGCTTCCCGCTGCCGAGGAGTTGAGCATCACCACCGTCACCTGGTCCATCGGCGTCACCCGAGCCTGGGTGACTTTAAACGCCAGCTCGGTGCCACCCCGCACCTTGGAGGAGGGGATGCCCTGGCTGTAGTGCCCGGAGGCGTAGATGGTGAAGGTGGGCTGCCTGCAGAGCGGGTCGGAGTAGTGGTAGTAGTGCCCTTCCCAGGTGTGGTTGTTGCCGTGGAATGTGAAGTACCTGGTGAGGAAGAGCACGGCCGGGCGGACCTCGCAGTGGGTGCTGACCCAGCTGCCGCTGAGCTGCATGGGCAGCGCGGCCCGGGCGGGCAGCACCGGCGGGTGGTGCTCATCGGCCCTGGAGATGATGGCACACGCCGGGCAAGGATGCACGTGGTGCTGCAGGAGACAGAAAAGAACAGTTCTGCCAAAAAAAAAACCCAAACAAACAAAAAAAAACCCCAAAACATTCTAGACTATTTCAAAAGCCGCGGCTCCCTCGCCCACAGCCCCACAGCAGGGTGCGAAGTGCGGGAGCTTGGCAGAGGCTGCCGAGCAGATTAAGGGGATAAAGCGCTGCCCTGCTCTTTGCTATTCTGGTAGCCAAGGACAGCGGGCTGTGCCCCGCGGGGTCAGCCCGGGAGGAGCCCGGGGCAAGGGCAGAGCCGGGACGGGGAGCGCTCCCCCGGGGCTGCCGCGGTGTTCCCCGTCCGTTTGCCAGGGCGAGCTGGGGGAGGATGGAGGCGCTGGGCGGTGCCAGAACAGAACGACGCCGCAGATTTTGGGAATGAAGGAGGATGTGACATGGGGCCGTGGGGAGCTCCTGGAGCTGCAGCATCTCCAGGACAGCCCAAGGTGTTCTCCCTCCCCCTCGGCCCGTTCCTGCCCGTGTTCCATGTGCAGGGATGCGGGGGAGGACCGGGATAAGCCGGGAGGGGAGGGAGGGGGACGCGGGGCTTTCCCAGCAGCAGAACGGGAGAAGAAAAGGACTCTGCAGAAGGAGGCCCTGACCTTCGCTTCCCCGCCGGTGCAGAGCTCTGAGTCAAACCAGCCCTGCCCCTGATCCGCTGCCAGCAGGGGTTTTGTGTAGCTTGGAAATTTTTCTTGTACTTCATATATCACAACTGATTTATTTTTAAATAAGCAGGGTTGGAACATTATATAATTTTCTAGAACACGAGCTAATCTTTACTGAACTGTCATAGGCAAGAAGGTTAAATAACTCAGTAGTTAACTGTAGGGTGGGTAATTTACATGCAAGTTGATTGGAGTCTACTGTAATTTAGTCATTTTCAGCTTGCTTTACTGCTACTGTCACAGTAATGAGTGCTGACAGTACACAGTACATTATGGCTAAATAATCCCAGAAGTTGGCAAATATATATGCTCTCCTTAGGCAGGAAATTCTTTGATAATGAAAGGTAATTTGGGGAGAATGGGTTTCTTTAAAACAGATATAAATTTAAGGGGAAAAGAGTGATATTTTCAAAAATAGAGTTAAAAATAATTCCTGACATAGCTGTGTAACTCAACAGCACAGGCAAATGGATTTCAGTTCACAGAAAATTAAAAAAAAAATTAAAAAAGAAAAATCCTGTGCCAAATAAAATTATCACTATGGACATGGAGCCAAAACCCTTACTTGCTTAAACCAGTCGTGTGAAGTTATTTCTAATGTTTGGCAGCTTCTAATTACGGCCAAGTGGTGACATCATGTGCGGGTCCATTGGAGAGCTGTTGGCTGATTAATTACAGGGCTGTATTCGGAGAGTGAATTTCAGTATCTTTAGGTTTGGTTTTAAATTAACTTTTTTAAGTGTTTATGTTTACCATCTGGTTTTGCTCATATATATGGTTTTGGCCCAAGATAATAAAAGTTTAACCAATTTGAGAATGTTACTTTTGAGAGGGATAGGGGTGTTTCTCTGTGTTTTTTGAAGTTCAGTTGGTGTAGTTTGAGGTGTGGGGAAATGCTGCCCCAAAATAATTTTTATTTCATTTATTTCCCTTCTATCTGGCAAAGTTCAGAGAGGTTTCTTCATGCCATCTCACTGCTCTACCATTTCTAATTTGATCAGTTTCAAATTGGATGGAAAGCTGCTTTCCTGGGAATAAACCAAATTGCTAAAAACCAAAATAAAATAGAACAAAAGCCAACCAAAGTCTGCTGCTCAATTTTACATATGTCAAAATGGAAGTCTGATTTCTGTGTAATAACATTATTGTACTGTGGGCAAGTTCCTTTGCTACTGGCATTGCAGCAAGGGCTGAAGAGTTAACGGCAGATCCCTTGCTCCCCTCAGCCTGGAGCACACCCCAAGAGCAAGGAGAGGCAGGCAGATGAAGGGCAGAGCAGACGAAGGGCAGAGCAGACGAAGGGCAGAGCAGACAGGCTCTAACAATGTGCAGCCTGAAGCCCTCGCTGACTTTGGTGCGGGAAACAAGGAAACTGCATTTCCTCGGAAAACACAGCCAAACACAAGCTGGCAGCTCCAGGCCCATGTCAGTGCAGGCTTGTTTCCATGCTGGTTTTGCTGAGCTTTCACCCATCCTGTTCTCTCAGGAAGGCAGAGGCTGAAGCCCACATGCCCCGGGATCCCACCCCTGCAGCCCCACACCGCCTCACCCGCGTGTCCGTGGGACTGTGGGGCCCAAGTGCTGCAAGGTGCTGCTGGAACAGCCAGGGAATGGCTGGCAAAGCCCTGGCGCAGGGAGGGGACCGTGCCAAGGCCTCATCCTTACCAGGGCGCTCTGCAAGGGACGCTGGTAGCCGGTGGGGCGGTAGTGCAGCCTCTCCCCCCAGTCCGTGTGGATGTCCCCCAGGTACAGCTCCTCCACCAGCCGGCTCCCGCTCTGCTGTGGCTGCAGCAGTGGCTGGAAGTGCCTCTCCACGCGCACCAGGCTCAGCTCGTGCATGGCGAAGCCCAGCGCCGCCGTGCAGTCGCGCTCCGTCTTGGCGCTCAGCACCTCGTACAGGGCTCCGGGAGCCCAGGAGCGCCCCGGGGGCAGGAACCCATGGCAGCCCTCGCCAGAGGTCTGGTTGATCCAGGAGGCCACCTCCCGCATGGCCTTCTGGCTGTGGAACACGATGCCCACTTTGTGCAGGTGGTAGTCGGCCTCGGTGGCCCCGCGGGTGATCCAGGAGGCCTGGCGCAGCCGGAGCTTGCCCTTGATGACCAGCGAGTAGGAGGGCTCGCGGCAGGACGGGTCCCAGTAGTAGAACTGCAGGGCCTTGAAGAGCCGGTTGGTGTAGAAGAGGTAGGATCGGGTCAGGAACTCGGGTCCCGGCCGCACCTCACACCTGCGGGGAGAGCAGCGCTGAGCCACGGCAGAACGGGAGAAATCCCTCCCAGGGCACCCGGGGTGTGGGAGAGGGGCGAGCAGGGGTGGAATCATCTTCCTGGGCAAGAGCCTCCCACATATGGTGGCCACCCTTGGGTGGCTTTACAGTCTGGACATCTGCTACTAAAACCTGAGAGTGATGGGCAGAGACCTTACACTTCAGGCATGTCCATGGGAGGAGTGCGGAGAGCAGCAGGAATCAAGGCTGCTCTGCCCGTTCGAGCTGCACCCCGATGGGAAAGTGGCAGGAGGTTCTAGGGACAGCCGGGGGTCCCAGCCTTCCTCCAGATGGGATTGAGGGCTTGGGGAAGAGGAGAAGGAAACTCTCTTCTTGTTGCCTGACAGGTTGTTGTACCGGGGGCAGGAGCTGCGCTGAGGGTCTGGGGCCTTTAGGGGTCCATTCGGAGATCCTCTGGGGTCTGGGGATGGTTCCCAGTGGATGGGGGTGCCTTCCCAGCAGAACGAGGTGGCTTACCCGGGGCATTAAGGGCGCATTCCCAGGAATCTGGGGTGCTTTGAGATGGATATTCCTTCCCAGGGTATGGGGTGTCTTCCCCATGGTTTTAGGGGTGCATTGTCAGGGGTTTGGGGCATGTTCCCAGAGTATTGGGGTGCCTTCCGGGGGTTTGAGGCACATTCCCAGACTCTGGGGGTGCCTTACCCGGGCTCTGAGGGTGCCTTACCCGGGGGTACCTTACCCGGGCTCTGGGGGTGCTTTACCCGGTTCTGGGGGTGCCTTACCCGGGCTCTGGGGGTGCCTTACCCGGCTCTGGGGGTGCCTTACCCGGGCTCTGGGGGTGCCTTACCCGGCTCTGGGGGTACCTTACCCGGTTCTGGGGGTGCCTTACCCGGCTCTGGGGGTGCCTTACCCGGGCTCTGGGGGTGCTTTACCCGGTTCTGGGGGTGCTTTACCCGGTTCTGGGGGTGCCTTACCCTGTGGAGACCCAGCGCCCCTCCAGGCGGGGCGGCAGCCGCGCGGCGATCCCGGCGCTGTCCTGCAGGTGGCGCAGCTGCTGGCGGCAGGGCGGCTCCGCGGCCGCGCAGGCTGCGGACACGGGGGGAGCGCAATCAATGACCCCCGAACAATCAATAACCCCCGAACAATCAATGACCCCCGAACAATCAATGACCCCCCGAACAATCAATGACCCCCGAACAATCAGTGACCCCCTCACAATCAGTGACACCCTCCTCGCTCAGCACCAAACCCTTAGCTAAGGACACAGGGGGTTTATTTCTCTCAGGTTTTCCGACTTGAGTTTCATCTGAATCCAAATGGTTTTTAGATGAAATCCTCAAATCAAACCGAGTGCCCTTTGTTCGTGTTCTTCCCCTCTCATGCTATTGTTGGGGCAGGGGCTGGAACGGGGAATTACAGCATGGGAACGCTGGCCTCGCCTGTCGCCCGCCATAAGGACAGTAATTCTGTCACTTACCTCATTTCCCATAACAACGGATGTTATTGGCTTAGGGAATGTGTGAACACTCAGCTAAATCCTGAAGACCTTTGCGTGCACGCACACATATGTACATATATTCCTATACATTATTCACTCTTTGCTTAAGCACTCTGTGGCACTCATTGCAGGCTTGCTTCTCTAAGAAACTTGGGATTTCCCTTCTCATGGCGCCATGGAATGAACTCTCAGTGAAGCTCCTCCCAAAACCCCACTGATTCTCGGTGGTATAGCTGACCCTGGTCCCTATAGAGCTCAGCCCAGCCAGGGCTTTATGGGCCCAGATGGAGTTTGTTTGCTGCAGCTGTACTTTGCATTTACCCAGGAGTGTGCTGGACATTTTGAAGCCAATTTTTATTCACTCCATAGGACGCAGGTTGCTTTCCAGCCTGCCTATCAGCTGGAGCAAAAGATCCAATATCTATGTGTCACCTTCCCACAGAATGAGGATATGAAAGGTTTGCACACCCCATGCCTCAGCCAAGGAGATGAACACACAGAGTCACAATATACAAACTCTGGACCAAGCAAAGTGGGAATTTGATAATTAAATGTCTGCTGTGCAAGTCAGAGGCTCCTGGAGAGGGAACCCCACTAAATCCCCTCTAAAAGGAGAGGGATTCCCACTCAATAATTTCAGAATTTTATCTGATGGACAAATTCAGCCGCTTCACTATGGTGCTGCCATTTGTGAAGGTTTTACAGGTCACTTGAAATATATTTGTGTAGACTTAAGCACACAAAGCCTGAACTACCACAAAAGGAATAAACATTTGGAAAGGGAAGCCCCCAGTGAAGCAGGAGAGCAGTACCCAAGGGCCAGGGAAACCAGCCTTGCATTTTCTGGTACCTCCCCCTGCTCTGGAGTGCGTGAAACAGCTGGAAAGACACATTATTAGAGTTCTGCTCTTTTGGGAGCAGACTCACAACTGCACTGCTCTTACCATCCTTAAGGGCTGGATGAGGTGAGCAGGCACAGCCAACTCCTTCACAACTGCTTGCACTCGTGCTTCCTAAAGTGCAGTTCCTGTGATTCTTCATGTGAAAATGGGAAAATATGGGATGACAAAACCCACTGCTATTAGTTAAACCTCTAATTTGGCAGTGCAGCATGTGTGAGGCTGCCCCATGGGTGCCTATTTAGGAGAGCCATTAGGAGCTGGGGATCTGTATCCTCATCCCAGCTGTGCCATGGCTTTGCTCTGTGGTCCTGTGTGCTCCCTACTCCCAGGGCTTTTTTTTAAACTCACACTCAGAATATGCCAAGATTCATTTGACTGCCCTAAGAGACCTAAATACTGGAGAGTCATCAGAACAAGGGCAGTCCAAACTGAACCACACTTCAAACAAACACAAAATTATTATCCTAGAGAATACGGTAAACTGAAAAATAACTGTATTTTTATTAGAGGTAATAATGGACATAAGGGTCAAATTTCCCCTTGCCCATAACCACAGAAAGACTCTAGAGGTATCAGTGCAGTCTATAGATACATAGAATGCAGCTATAAAAGATACACAATATAACCCAGTCAACTCACAAACTGAGCTCTGCGTGTGTTTATTGCAGCAGAAGCTTCAATATCTCACTGAACCCTTCGTGCTACTCTTGGCAGAAACACTAATAGTCTACATTGTTTGGGAGCAAAGACACTTTGGCAATGCAAGCACTGCATTTTGACACATTCAAAACAAAAGGGATTTTTTATAATCAGGATCAAACTTCATGGGGAAAGGAAAAAAAAAAGGAAAAAAACCCTCCAGAATGTAAATATTTGACATGATGGGAATTCCTAGGGATTTTGTCTTACTTAATTGTGCACAAGACTCCAAGCTGGATGCATCCTCAAACCAAAAGCTATTGGCTTGTGTCCAAAATTTGTGGCTGCTTTTTTCTCTCTAAAATACTTCAGCCCCACCAGATCCAAACATCCTTTCAAGCTGGAAAAGTTTAGTCCCAGACGTAAAATCTGTAGTTAGAGCACCTCTCTATTCCAAGAGCAGCATAAAGTGGCTGTCACTCATATGTCACTCTGTTACTCAGCCCCTGGTAAAGAGCATCAGAGCAGCTCCTCTTTCTTAAGAGAGACACAAATTAACTGCTCTATAGAGTGCTCAGGCAGGAGGAAGGAATTATTCACAATTCATCTTCAAGACAAAAATCCTCATTCATAGGAAAACCTAAAAAAATGCCTGTGATCTCTCCCCCTTGCTCGCTCTGCCGTCTGTCTGTATCGATTAACCACAAACATTTCCAGAGATCTCCCCAGCACAGCACTTAGACAAAACAGGGGCTTTTCCCAGTTTTCCAGTGCATTCTGCATCCCAAAGAGCAGCCCAAAGCCTCGGAGCAAGGGGCTGCACGAGCACTCAGGCTCGTCTTTGCCACCAGCACAAACCAGACCAAGCCTTGAGCAAACAGCAGCAGCTGCTGACCAGCCATTCCAACCCTCACTTGTATAAACTACTTTCAGGAAAATCAGATCCATGGCATCAAATGATAAAAAGGGCAGAACTGGAAATTCTCAATTTCTTCTCACAGTAAATTGTTGGTAAAATTAAGGTGGAAGATTTTGAGGCAATGGCCAAGCCTGGAAGTGAGAGCCTTGTGCTATACATGAGCTGTGTGCTCCAGATGCAGAGCCACTTCTCACTTCTAAAGGAAAAAACCATCAACCAAGAGAGAAATGCTGTCATATTCCTCCTTGGAAACAAATCTTGTTTGTGCTCCCCCAAGCAGATTGACTCTGGAAAAAAGCAAAGTTGAGTCACACATCTGCTTCTTCACAAATGGAGGAGAAAATGCATATATTACAGTTTGCAACAAATTAGTTACTGTGGATCAGCTCTTCTCCAGAGCTAGAGTGTTTAATCTGTTACATGTTATTGCCTCCTATGGCCAGATTTTATCATTCCCATTTATAATTCTAATGTTTCAGTTAGTCACCCATTCACAGGGATAAGATCAGGGCCTGAAGTCACGGAGCATTACACATTTCTTCATTTAGAGATGACATAAAACCTTTGATATTTTCTGAGGAATGTTCACACTGGAAAGAAATGGGTGATAAGAAATGTATCAATGTATTTTGCATAAGTGAATTACACTCTTCCACACAGACTTCATTAACACAGCAAAACAGTGTTTCTTTAGCATTTTTCTCTCCTGAGAGAACACAGAATGGGTTTTGGGTTAGCCACTAAAGGAATAAGCATTCTGTTAGAAGCAAACAAAATGGTCATATTTAACAAATCAATTTTTCTTGCATTTGTGTGGAGATTAAGTTAGTGGGGCCTTTAATTCACTCAGAAAAAGGCATTCCCAAGAGAATAGCTCTGTGGGAAGAGATAAATTTTATAATATAATATTACAAAGTTATAAAGTTTAAATATAACCCAATGGGGATTAAAAACTCTATCAGAGCAGAACCTTGCATTTTGCCTATATGCAAATTGAACACAGTTCAGGACAGGACTTAAGCACACGCTTAAGTCTAATTGGTTGCAGTGAAACTTAAGCATATGCTTGAAATTAAGCCAGTGCATGAGCATTTTTCCTGATTAGTAATGCCTCCCTGAACTGAAGCCAGAATGTGGTCAAGTGGTTGAGGGACGATGCCAGTGCTTTCACTGGAGCACTGTTTGGTTTCTGGAAAAGTATTTCTATTATTCATCCCTTCTCTTATTTTTCTGTAAAATGGGTATGTTTGCATTTAGCTGTTTCACCAGTCTGGTGCTCAGTTCATGATATTCATAAAATCCTTTGAATTCATTAAATCTTTCTCAGTTATGCCCTCAGGGCTGCCACAGTAACTATTATCCACAAACTATCATTGCAGAGCATCACCCTGAGTTTCCTCTTCACAGCTGAGCATAATCACGCATGAAATCCTGCAGATCCTAAGAGGAAACTCAGCTGACTCAAAAGTCCCAAGTTTGGGATTTTAGAGAAGTTTTCAAAACATACTTTCACCACATACATTTAGCGCAATGGCATATGAGTTTAGACATCCCTTTCTATGGTTTTAGCCTGGCTTTGTTCTAAGCTCTGTCTGCTCTGTCTCATTTCCAATATTAAAATAGCGAAGGGCTTGTGGTGAGTTGCCTGGGGGTTTTAAAGACACTAGAGAATAAAATATTTTGCTCTTGGAATCATGGAATCATGTATTTTTCTTGTTAAGTGTCATGTCCAGCAAGAGATGACAAGACATATGAGATTGTGGTAGGGAAGGGGAGGAAGGAGAAGCACCCCAAAGATCTTCTTCAGTATAAACTACATTTAAATAAAATGCCTTCTTAAAGCTGCCTGTCTGGCTGTTTACGCCAAAGACAACCAAGCCTAACACTGGAAATGGGATTCAAGGGCTTGGTCCCAGTTTTACTGAAGTCTGTAAGTAGGAAAGGTCTCATCAGCACCTTATTCAGAAGATGCCCATCCCCATAAACTGATGGTAACACTCTGTCTGAGAAAAGGAGAAATGGGATAGGGGGAATCACAGAATTATTTGGGTTGGAAAGGACCTTCCAGATCATGATATTCTCAAATGGGGTGAATTAAGCAGGACATGTAAGAGCTGTCACAGGGGCT